GAGTGATAAGACAGGTTTGTTGTGAGAATTACTTGGTTCTCTATTTGTGATGCACTCAGGGTGGTAGCTCATAGGAAATTAGCCATATATATTAGTTTTTCCATAGAAACTTTCCTATTCAATAAAGGAAACATATCTCTCTAATACACATTCAATGGCCCAGTACTGCTTTACAAAGGAAGCACAAATAATAACAACACACTCTTCCTCCCTCTTTTTCCACATCTTCTTTAAATGCATGACTCATTAACATTTTCCACTTTTACCTATCCTGCTCCTGGAGTGGGAGTGACAAATAAAATTAATTGTCCTTCCTAAAACTGGAGGCAGCTTCTGAAGTCAGATGGTGCCCCGTCTTTGTTTTATCTTCCCTTTTCATGAAAGAACAATAGTTTCAAATGATAGTTTAAACATTCTTAGAGAAAGGCAGGCATACCAGCTACTTGCCAGATGTCTCTGATTAATTTGCCTGTGCTTACCAGACGATGAACATGAGCTGGTAATTTTGCTCTGCCAGTGCTAAAGTTTGCTAAGCAATGTCTCTATAAACAGGAAACTTAATTTCAGTAAAAGAGCTGACCTCTGACTGCAAGGCTGTATTGGTGCTCACGGCAGGTCTGAGACAGAAATGTTATCTGAGCTCTTCCCTTCATTCTTTTGCATCTGATATCTAGGCTTCAGCGTTGAGATGCACCACACTCATCAAAGATCCCATATGTTATGGCCCATATACACCGTAGTTTTGGCTGTCATGTGGATCAAATCCATTCTCTGTGTTCTCTTCTTACAGTCCTGGGTTGTGAGACTGCAGCTCTTCATAACCACAAATGCACTGGCAGGGTCGCTCAGCTCCGCAAGAAAGAACGGAAGCACCACCAACCTAACTCCCAATCAAGGGGTCACAACCTCCTCAGGCAGGTGCTGCCTAAACTGGTCTGCCTGGAGGCCTCTCATGCCTGTGGGTAGATTTGAGGACACTGGAGCAGGCCTGGTGAGAAGAAGTCATCTCAGCCAGGAGTCTTGGAGGCCAGTTTTCACTCTCCACCTTCCCTGCTGGCTCCATTCACGTTCCTGAACCCACTGTCAGGCCTCTCCAGGAAGGAGGGTAGCACAGAACAAAGTCTAAGGTTCTAGCTCCAATATCTTTTAATGCTCACCATATTAATTTCAGATCAGAGGTCAGAATGCTTGATAGACTACGGTGCTCCGACTCATCATGTGATTTATAATAAATACTTCAACAGAGCCAAGTGCCTGTAATAGAAATGGGCTATGTGCCCACATAGTTGTCTGCCTTTGAAGATCTAAAATGCTCCACTGGCACAAAGCCAAGTCACCACAAAGGGCTACACAGGTTCAGAGCAACCTCACTGCAATTCTACTCTATGTTCATCTGAATCTAACAGGCACATTCTCATTTTTTTGTTGTTACTTTATTCAAAATTTGATGCTGGTCTTCTTTTACTCATAAAGTATTCCCAAACTCCACTAAGTCATAATTCTCAGCTCATGCAATAGCAGTTAGACTGTATAATCCAGAAGAACAGTATGAAACACAATGACATGTGAGTATTTAATTTCTTAATTTATTAAAATTGAAAATCCAGTTGTGCAGTGACACTAGCTGCATTCTGAGTGCTAATGACACATCTGGCTACTGGCTACATATATTGGACAGCACAAATTATAGAATACTTTTGTCACTGCAGAAAGTTTCACTGGACAGCCCTGCATTAATTTAGAACCTGATCTTTAAAAGAGACCATGGAATTTTTCAAGCAAATTTCCAGAATTCCCCAGTGCCATTTATGTAAGTTTCTGCAGATAAAGCATGGAAGTTCGATTAATTGTGTTACTCCTTCAGATCCTAAAACTACACCTAGTGAGAACAGGACAATGATAAGAACTGGAGCTACCTTGGAGGAGAGGTGACTCACTGACTATTCACAATAACTCTGAGTACAGAGGACTCAGAAAATTAGACTGGAACATCAGGAGTTTTATTCTCTCATGAATTATTGAAACAGAGTCCTCAAATTTCATCTCTATTATCCCCTCAAATTGTTCTTTCCTCTGGTTCCCATCAGTGTTTCCATCTCCCTAGTTCTGCTGGTTACAGCAGTGCAGGACATGTCCCCTCAGTTTCTTGATCACCGTGATATAGACATTCAGAGACATTCTTTTTAACAAAAATATGGAAAAACCATTCAATAGCTTTGAATTAGGAGGACAAACTTTCCTTGATACATATAGGAACAAATTTTCTTTTAAATCCATCCAGGAAACTTTTAACAGTTGAGCAAGTAAATTATGAGATCCTCAGAATAAACAGAGGATCCATATTGACTAAGGAACCTTAACTTTATTAACATTCCACAAGCACTGTTAGAAAAATCGTCAAACCAATAGATAGTGGACACTGTCATTTTATCCGGGAAGGACCATTCTATCTTCTCTAACTTCTAGAAAATTGTTTCTTACCTACAGTTTTATCAGTTGCACAAAAAAAAATACAAAAATATCCAAAGGTTACTTCTGGTTTTTCTCCAAAACTAAAACTGTTTGGAAATGAAAGATGAATTGTTAATGTTGAGCACTTTTGAAACGCTGAAAATCTAAGTCTCCAAATTGATGAAGTTAAATTGTGTTTAACCAGTTGTTTCCCAGACCTAAGGAGAGATATATTTATATTTTTATAAGGGACATTGAGGCACAAACTAGTCGATGAGAAAAGAATGATTCCATGTTCTATTTCATTTGTAGAGAGCCATAAGGCTCTGTGAAAACCAAGGATAATTATCAAAACTTGAATGATCTAGTTTGTGTCTTTAAGACTAATCATTAAGAAATCAGTTAGTACTTTTCTTTGTCCCCGCCTCAGCATGCACTGTTTTATTCACTTGGCCTATCTGTAAGATGAGAGGCCTATCTTTAAGATGAGAATAATCACTGATTCTGGTTCAGGAGATATGAGATCTTTCCTGTATCCCCACGAACTACAGACAAAAAAAAATGAGTGTTGCTGGCTCAGAAAATGACTGTGCAGCACTACTGATTTTTTTGCCTGGTTAAAACAGAGCTCATAAAGAAATTCAAAGGAATATGAATATCTCAGAGTATTCAGCACCAGGAGAATAGCACCTTTTTCTCAAGGTGAGCCTAAGTCTTCGAGCACAGCAAATGAACATAATCTTGGTTTAAGAAGAGAAATCTGGTAGCATATGTAAGGAGAGAGTCAACGAAAATGAATTGCCTGTACATGAAAGCACAGTGCTATTTGAAAACAATTTTGAGAGGCAAATATTTATACTTATATATATATAATATGTATGTATATATATATATATATAGTAATAAAATGTATAATATATAATCCTATTATATGTTCTGATATACCAAAAAAGAACACTGGGATGATACTGAATTTTTAAAAACCAAATATAAATGTGTGAATTCATGCTATTACAAATAAATACATATTATTTTTTAAAAGAAATAGATAAGACCTTTTTAACCAATTGAAAATAAAATGTTTGACTAAATAAAACACTTCACTTCTGAAGTGTAATATTAATCAGATTTCTTTCATCCACAGAATAGTATGATTAATATTTCAGTATGACTAGTTTCCTTAACAAGTACTTACTGATCATTCACCGTGTGCCAACTACTGTCAAAAACCAAAGAGTTAAACCTCTCTTTGTAGTTGTGTTGTCAAAATTAATCATTTTTAGTTGTGTAAATTGGATGTTTTATCTCAAGTTATAATATACTTGTGTCTCAAATTATAATATACTTGTGAATAAATTAAAATTTGATTTAACTTCATAGGTCCCGTATTTTGCCACAAAGATCCAAGATCAATCAAGACATTATCAGACAAAACATCTCATTTCAATTAATAAGTACTTACTAAAAAATAATGTGAAAAGGGGCCCTAACTATATTTATAATCTGTCTTTATATGGGGAAAAACAAACCCTAGTCACAAAAGAAATGTACACATATACAGACACTCGCATATTGTATGTTCTTTTAAAATTCCAATATTTGCTCCAAGCATAAAGAAATGATAGGAAGATGGAAATGCTATTCACACTGATTTCAGCAGTATAGGCTGTGTATATTGTGTTGGACATCACACTGCCTGTAAATATGCATAATTATTACCTGTAAATTTTAAAACATTTTTAAGAGAAATAAGTCTATTCCTTAAAATCAATTCTAGCTTTTAGTTGTTCCTCTGCCCGAAATGCCCTTTTCTCCTTTGTGCCTTTCAGATCTCAACTAAAGATCACCTCCTCAGCCAGACTTTCATGACGTCCTGGTCTTACTACCTCCTTCTTAACCGCTCCCCAGACATTTTCCATTGTATCACTTACCCCAGTTAATAATTACAAATTTTTATTTGTTTCTGCAATCACTGTCTATGTCTAGAATGAGAAAGCCCCTGTGTGTATTTATTTTAAGTATCTATCACAGTAGCCAGAAGAATCCTGTTCAATAGAAACCATGAAGAGAATGAATGAAGTCAATTTCCTCTGAGCCTCCAGCAGATTTCTTGCTGGTGATGAATGCAGATTAACTGCTACGATGGGTTTTCACTTTATGCAGTTATATTTCATTGAAGTTTGGGTACACTTTTATGTTTATTCTACTAGAAAGAAAAAGTGTACCCACCCTAAAACTAATTCAATCACTCTTCTAGGAGTTCCAGATCATGGAAATGACTATCAGTAAACTTAGTCCCTTGGTTGTATCTAGCTCTCTACCTATAAATACGATTGCCATGTATCTCAAAATCCAGAGAAAGTGCAATTCCTGCTTTAAAGAAAATGTCTGCTTAATGTGAAATACTTTTGCAAAACAAATGTCTTTGGGAGACTTCTCTGTGTCCAAATCTGGAAGTTTATATTGGCATTCAGGATCTTCCTAAGAACATACCATTCTAGTTTTTCAAATAAGGCCATTTGAGTTGGGAACGTTGGAGAACTGCTTACCTGGAGTCCTTTCTGACTCTGGCTTTCTCAAAAGAAAACTCAGGGGGCTTGTTGAGGTCATAGGTTCGGGTTGTTGGCTCAGCAGACACCCCTGCCTTTGCTCCCCTCCTATTATGGAGAGGGACCAATCCTGAAGTCTTCCGAGGCACCTTCTCCGGAGAAAGCTGGAGTGAGCTTTCTCCCTGCATATGCACCACATCCTGCAGCTTGTTTAGCTGGATGCACTTGCTCTGGAGCTCCTCTGTGAGCTCAGCAATGGCCACAGTCTGCTTTGATAGCTGTTCCCGCAGCTCCTTCAGATGGTACTCTCGCTCCTGGATCTCAGCATCCTTCCTCCTCAGTTCTCTCTCCAGCTCTGTCACCCTGTTTCGCAGGGCATCAGCGCTGAGGTTCCCGATGTGGCCATCTGGATGCTTGGAATGTTTAGGTTTCACTGAACCATTTCCCATGTTGCCCTGGGACCTGAGAAATGGCAGAGAATTGAGATTAACAAAGGTATTTCATTTTCCTACAGCCCCCATGTTCCCTCTTGTTCTAATCTGCTTCATAGATAGAAGCAAAGCCATCATCATCATTTGATGAACAAACAATTCCCTCAAGCTATCAGAAGGAAATCCACTGTTCTGATTTCCTTTATCCTTCCAAGAGAAGAAATTCGCATTTGGGTTCTTGCTTTCCCTTTCCTTTGTACAAGTTTGGCACCTAAATGCTTTGCCTGGGTTACCTGCTGTTGCCTTTGGTCATTCTCTCTGGACAGCTGTCAAAAGCATCACAACAAGACTTTGATTTGGATGTCAGCATGGCAAAAGATAAGACACAAAGGAGCAGGTACAGCAACAGAAGCTTGGAAATGTCACAACTCTCACAGCCCCTTGTGCAACTACAACAGTAAGAAAGCTTCTCCGGATTTAGCAAATAACACATCTGCATTCTGAGCAAGGCCGTGGCAGACTTGGTGTTGCTTTGTTAGCACTTCTCTCCTGTTGTAGGTGCTAGTAATGATGTATTCCTGATACTGGTTATTGTTTAAAAAGAAAAGAAAAAAAACTTTCTAAATTGTGGTCTCTAGAAGGAAACAGGGGCATGGAGATTTTTCTACATTCTTTACTTTAGAGCCTAAAGTCAAGATTGTCCAAAGTATGCTGACCTATGACGTGAAGCTTTATTCTCTCCCTACTGAAAAATCCTTAATGAGGTCCCAAAGTAACCACTGATGCTGCAATTCTCAGACATGACAGAAAGATCAGGAACCATGGGAGGTGATTTTAGTTCATTCAGAATTTTTTTTTCTAGCTCAACAGCTATTTATTTTAACATTTACTAAAATATATAAACAATAAGCACAATGAATTGATATTACTACTTAACTAGGAGTTAAAATAGGTATTTTAGGTTTGCTAATTCAAATCAATATAAATATCTATAAATAAATATAGGTAATAAGCACATATGAGTAAGATTATGAAAAGCAAACTCAAATTGGTAAAGTTTGGAAAACACTGATATGATTGATTCCCATAGAGCTGATAGTTTCTTAGGCTACCTATTTAAACTTAATATTTTTGCAAATGCAGTTTTTGGTAAACATAACCCAAGAAGAATTACAGAAAACTAAGCCTGAATCACTTCTAATTATCTACAAGCAGAAAGGATGAAACTACAGTTTTATAACCCTCATACTCTTGCCATTCCTCCCTTCTAAATTTCAAACTCAGATAGAAATAAAGTACTTACACTTAGCAATCAGAAAGATATAGATATAAAGATGTAACACAACTTCTAAGTTTCAAATAAACACAATCAAATAATCCATGCAAGTTGCTTAAGATGAATAGTACAAACAGAAAATAAATATACTCATAAAACTAATTGTGCAGAAATGTGATACATTCCTCATAGAATTAAAAATAATCATTCATAAACATCAGCTTACAGAGAATTACTTTAATATATTGCAGAGATGTAGCAAATACAACCTTTAAGTTTCTGTTCACTTGACAGCACTTACTATTCCTATGTATTAAGCATGTATAAGAAGGTTTAGGAGACTAAAATTTGAAGAAGTAGCCCTGGACAAACTTTCATCTTGAATAAGTAATTCAAAGATGCTAAGTTGAGACCTGAGAATAAGCTTGAATGGGATTCTAAATTGCAAGCATAAGAAAGACACTCCCAAAGGTACTTTAAACTAACATGAACACAAATTTTTAATATGTATCAATGAGCTGTCTTCTAGACATCTTTTTTGTTTGATAGACAAGACTTGTTCAGGCCAAGGAGAAAGAAAAAATACTTTGTAAAGAACAAAATCAAATATAAACACATTTAAATTTAATATTAAACTAGCAGCTCATTCTTTGTTCATGGAACAGTTGTTTACTAAGATCTAATTAAGTGTCATATACTATATCAGAGGCATATCCTTTTAAGGATTCGCACTTGGAATTTGACAGAGAAAACAGTTTTAACATTCTAATTAAGAAAAGGCTTAGCACTATTCTTATTCCAAGAATGGCCTTTAAAAACTTCTATTGCAATCCAAAGGTTTTACAAACCTGAAGCTCAATTAGTCAAAGGGTATTAAATTCTTTCCAAACATCGACAATTCTCTGGTTTTAATGAAGTCAAATTAGAGGCTGTATACATCTTTTAAGCTATTTTCGACTTTCAAAGTAGGATGAAATCAAAGTAACATCTTCCAAGTCACTAATTTAAGATAAATAAATTACTAAGTGGCTTACTACTAGTCTGATTTCTTAGTTAACCTGTTTAAATTTTGCTGTCTCTGAAGTCCAGATTTAGAGTTTCTGGCTTCTTAAAACTTCATGAGTTCACTGTGTTACCTGTGTGAGTCCCAAAGATAACCTATTTTTAAAATATTGATTATAGCCACAAAGAGAAGTGAACTATTAAGGTGCTGCCTCATCAATCCAGCAGCTACAGGTTATTAAAACCATTCTTATATTCAAAACGCAATCCATGATGCAATAAGAAATGACTTTGAAGGGCCAGGGATATAATTCAGTGGCATAGCACCTGCCTGGCAAGAGCAAGTTCCTAAATTGGATCACCGTACAGAAAAAAAAAAAGAAAGAAAGAAAGAAAGAAAAACAGAAATGACTTTGGAGCTAAAGACTGAACTTAACATGAGCAACAGAGTCATTAACATGAGCAACAGGTCACTAAATGTTAGAAAGCCATCTGTCCTGCCCCAACTTTCCATGGATTATCTCTCTGATTAACTATTCTTGTCTATAAAATGGATAGACCTATATCTATGTTGTAAGGCTATTATGCAAATTGTGTTTATAAAGTACAATGTCTATAATGCCTCTATATAGCACACATCAAACAGTAGTTCTTTTCATATGGTAGGGCTGGAGACAGCCATTTAAAGTGTTGACCTCTTGGAAGCCCAGAAGAGATCATTTCTGGGTGGGACACTAAGTCTAGTAAACTAGATGCCTTCCAGACAAAAGGCCTTTTAAAAGGCAAATATTTCCTTGGGGGAGGGAATTTTTGCTCTATCTGAAGTACATCCTCCATTTAGAAAAGAAAATCATTCCATAAGAGCAGCCTAGGAAGCAAGCCATATCAAAAGATGGAGATAAGGAAAAATCATTTCAAATGACATAAAGCCAGTCCAGCATTGCAAGGATGTGATTCCCTCAGGTGCCCCATTTATTTTCAGATAATGCAGTGAAATTCTTAGACCAAAATGTAATTAGATAATTATGTATCTAGTAATTACTATTTCTGAAGATAAAACAATTCATTTTTTGGAAAGGTGATATTCTTCCACACTAAAGGATGAGAGAGAAGAATAAATAGTGCCACTTATTAAGAAGAAAAGACTATGCAATAATAAATGTTATTATTATATTAATTTGCTTGTCATTTAGGAAATCTGAGCCACCAAATGACAAACAGAAGAGACACATAAAAAAAGAGAAAGGTTCTGCAAACGCTCTTCCAAACCCTTTAACACCTGGCAATCAGTGTGGGAGAAGCTAGGCTTTATTCTGTCTTTTTTTCTAAAACAATATGAAGCCAAATTCTTGGCTCTGATCTAAAAAATCTCTTTCTTTCTCTACCCATCTGGAATCTGGTACAAATATACTCACAAGCATACCCACTAATTTATATGTATGTGTAGCTATAGATCTACCTGTAAATATGGGAGATAGTTTAATGGTGGCTAAGAGTCCCAGTCTGAGTCCGTTGCTTAGTGGATCTACGCCTTGCAGCAGATAATGATCAACCACAGAAGAGAGAGACAAACACATAGATGGACAGATAGATAAAATACTGTTGCACACCACTTCCAGTCTTTAGAAAGTTAAATGAGATCACTCAAAAGAATTTAACAGTGCCTAGCATAAAGTACGTGTAATATTAATTATTATTGTTGTTGTTAAAAATATTTTCCCAACAAAATAATTTATCTTAGTAGAAAAATTTATTCATCAAAAAAAGTACTAAATCAAGGGGCATGGTGATGCATACATGTAATCCCAGCACTTAGAAGGCTGAAGCAGGAGGACTACAGCAAGCGCAAGGTTACCCTGAACCACATAGTGAACCTTGTCTCCAAAAATAAAGAACTAAATCAATACAATATTATAGGAGTACAAAGTCAGAGAACTGACTGCACCCAACTTTGAGACTTCCTAATAAGTTATACTAATCAAGACAGTCTAGAAAATGGAAGTGACTATAAAGGGCCTAGTGAAAAAATAGAGAAGTACATGCATCAGTGAGACAGAAGAGAAAGCCAGAAATACAGCTAAATGATATTCTTAACTGGTCCTTAACCAAGAAGTAAATGCAAATAAATGGAAAAATAGTCTCTAACAAATTATACAGGAAAAAATAGACATTCAAATGAAAAAACATAGACAGAGGCTTTCCATCTTTCACAAAAACTAACTCAAAGTGGACCACAGGCCTAGCATATCACCCAAAATTATTAAACTCCTAGAAGACAATGTAAGAGAAAATTTAGGTGATTTGGGGTTTGCAGATTATGGGGAGTGGGGTAAAAGACTGAAAGTAGGACTTGTAAAAGGAGAAACTGGTGATCCAAACTTATTTGACTTTAAAAACATCTGTTCAAAGGAAGAAAATAAAAAAAGAAGCCACAGATTGGGGAAGTACTTGCAAAATCTATCTAATAAAGGAGGCAATCTTAATACTTGAAAAAAATTCTCTGAAAAATGGGCAAAAGAGCTGGAGAGACATCTCACCAAAGATTTACAGATGGCAAATAACCATATAAAAAGTTGCTCAATGTCAGCACCATTAGAAAATTTCAAATTAAAACAAGAAGGAAATGGCTCTGTATAGATTAAAACGGCAAAACACTGACACCAAGAAATGCTGGTAAGAATGTGGAGCAACAGGAACTCTCAGTCATTGCTAGTGGGATGTTCTATGATGTGGCTACTCTGAAAGGCAGGGTGTCAGTTTTTTTCCTAAGTGAATCATGCTTCTTGGTACTCACTCAACTTATAAGAAAGGCGTGTCTTCACTAAAACCTGCAAGTAAATGTTTATACAAGATTTATTTGTAATTGCATAAACTTGGAAGCAATGACGGCCTTCCATGGGTTAATGATAAACAAAACCATAGTACATCCATATAATGGAATCTTATTCAATAGTAAAAAGTAACAACAACCAGTGAAGAGATATAGAAGCACTATATTTCTAATATGAAATATTTTCAATTTGAAAAACCTGTAACTCTCACTATATGGCATTCTGGAAGACAGATTAAAGACAAAAAAGATCAGTGGTTGTCAGGAGTTTGGGAGAAAAAAAGAGGAATAAAAGAGTGGAACACCAGGACAACAGATGTTTAGGGCAGTGAAAATATACAGTATGATACTGTAATGGTAAATAAGTGTCACCATTCACATTGCAAGACCTATGAGAAGTACAATACAAGGAATAATCCCTAATGCAAACTAGGAGCTTTCATTAAAAATAGTAATTTAGCAACACTGATTCCTCAATTGTAACAAATGCATGATGCTGTTGTAAGACCATAAGAAAAGGGCTGGGGATTTAGCTCAGCGGCATAAGCTCCTGACTTGCAAGCAGGCGGTCGTGAGTTCGATCCCTGGTACCGATAAAAAAAAACCGAAAAAGAAAAAAAAAAAAAAAAAAAAGACCATAAGAAAAGGGGAAACTGTGCTGGGGGTATATATAGGAAGTTTTATTTTTTAACCAGTTTTCCTGTAAAACTAAAAGTGCTCTAAGATAGAAAGTCCATTAACTTGTTTAAAAGACATATACTAAAAAAAATGAATGTAAGAAAAATGATAACATATTCAGGGAACAGATTAGAAGGCATGAAGGGTGGAAGAAAAGGGATGAGTAATAAAGCTAAAAAAGTAAGATATTGGGTAAGATTCTGGAAAATTTTATATGCCACGTTGTGGTTTCTGGATTTTAATGTAAGCCAAGTTTTTTTTTAAGTTACATGGTGATATTTCTCCTTTAGTAAAATAATTGCTTGGAAATAAATATGGAATCAAGTGAAAGGAGTTTAAAGGAAGTATGGAAAACTAAAAAGCTTTTGTGCTTATCCAAGAAGTTGTAAGTACTAGACCAAGGCCATCCCAGAGTCAACACCCAAATTCTTCTACATGTAATTCTAAGTGTATGCAAAATTGAGGCATATCACTTTATTGCTACCATTAGCTTGTCTCACCATAGCACACTGAGAAAATAATTAACCATCATTGGATATATAAATTTCTACTTCTCCCTGAAGCAAAACACACAAAAATGTCCTTGTGAAAAACTACTAATTTCCACAACAGTGCCACAATTAAAAGTGTCTGCCTACATGACCTTGTGACTATTGACCCGGGGCTCAGTTTTGAAACCACTTCTTGTTTTCTCTGTTCACAGCATCTTCATTTGGAGAATAATTTCCTCTTGGCACGCAATCTTAGGAGTTTACTGAACCAAAGTTTCAACTATCCTCGAGTCTAGCTTTGAAGTCCCCTCTCTCCCAGAAGAATGTTCACAGTGAATTATAGGAATGCTCCATATCCTATATTTGGATTGCCAAATGTGGCAGATTTCATTCAGCTATTTTCAGGTACTATGTTTACAGATAAACAGGGAACATACAGAAAGGTAGGTTGGTAGGTAAAGGTCAGGAGATTTATCGGTTTGGAATTTCAATGATAACCCAAGAAACAGAATAAAGATTTGTGACTTGATTTTGTAGAAACTGGGTAAAAGATCGTATCATTAACCAATAGGAGGAACAATCTGGAGGATGGACATGATTTTGAGGAACCTGTAAAATTTAAGTTAGAGAGGTTTAGTAAGCAGTAAGAAATGAGCCACTAGATAATGAAAACAAAGGGAGATCTAGATGTAAGGAGCAGAAAAGAACACATAACTGGAAGTTGAAGAGTTGAAGCTGAAAAAGTACTCCAGAGATTGATTGTGAAGATACGAGGAAGGGTTTGGGATTATATGAGACTGGAAAGAAGAAGGAAGAAGTGGTAGAAGCTATGGCTTTGCTTAAAGTTAGAAAAGATGTAGAGTGTTTGGTGTTAAAACGAGAGGGTGGAACAAGATAAAGCCTCTAGTACGGGAAATAAATGCATGTGCGCACAACAGGAGACAAAATGATTCCAACTATTTTTTAAAACCTTGGAAGGCTTGGAGGAAAGTAGCATTTTTCACTGCACATTATTTACTTCCTCTTTCCAACATGACACATAGGGCACCTCCACTGGCCAGTCTCTGTGACAATGAAACAAGGCAGAAGAATGAATATGCTCTATGGGGACAGCAATACATCAGGATTTGTACAAGTGGAATCTGACTATATGAGATCATCAAAGTGGAAATGTGTACCAATACACAAAGATGGGAAGTCAAGAGACTGTCCTAGAAACATAAGACTTTAAGTCCCCTTAGTAGATGAGATCATTAAAAGAAAAAATAGAAAGCAATGTGTCTATGACTGTGTATGAACACACTGGTAACTGGATTTTGTCGAAGAGGTGGAGAAGCAAACAACAAAAGAAAATGAATGGTTATACAAACAAGAGATCTAAAAACACTATCACAGAGGCAGTGGGCATAAGAGTTTCCAAGAAAGGAATAAGCTACAGCTCAAATACCAGACCTGTCCAAGGAAAATAAGAGCAAAGGGAAAAGCACTGACTTTAGGCTTTTGTAGAAGAGTCAGGCAAGAAACTAGTTACAGAGGACTACAGAAAGAGCTGATGTGGAGACTAGGAACTTCAAGATGGTGTGGTGGGTCATCCAAAGGATTTTTAGAAGAGCAGAAGTGTGACTGTCCATAAACCCAGGATAACGAATCAATGAATAAAAAGAAAATTAAAGCACTGGAGAAGAGGAGGAGATAACAGCAAAATACCCAAAAAGAAATAAGACAATATGAGATCATAAGACTTGGGAGACATCCAGATAACATATATCTTTCTTGCGAGGTGATTCTCATTAGCTTCACTTCTAGTGATTCTGCCTAACTAGAGTTAAATATTCCATGTAAAAGATGAAGATTACCAGGCCTCATCTCTGTATGTTGCTCATTCTTAATAATACAGCATTTCAGTGGGGAAATCAGTCTCCAGATTTCCGGAGAATTCTCCACCATATCTGTTCATACCCCACTGTGCAAAACTAAACAGGGGCAGCCGCAACAGCTGCTGTATGTATGTGGGACGACTCCCTTCTCCAGGCGTGAGATAGAAACTTGTAAAGAAAAGGCACAATTCCTAAGGAACGGTTCCTATGGAGGTGGCGAGGCCAGCAGGTGTATGTTGCTCTCTTCGTCTATTTAAGGGGGAAAAAATGCCCCCTGGAAATTAAGGGAACGACACGACGATCCAGAAGCCAAATTGTCTGCGCATCATCCTTTCCACCTCATTATTCTGCCTTCACAATCTCTTTCTATTCTGAGCTCTGGCCTCAACGGTTGTTCAGAAAAAGAAAATCAAAACGTTGGAGAATGTTCCCTTGTACCTCAACGCATTTCTTTTCCCCTCGTCCTCAAAGAGGCTGATTTCTTGTTTTCATTTGTCAGCTCTTTTTTTTTTGTTGTTGTTATCACTATGAAATGCAGAAACGTGGACGCGCCTCACGACGCTGAAAGGGACCCAGGACACCCACACAAGTTTACAAGGACTTGTAAAAGTCCTTGCCCGCGTGCTCCTCTTCTCGCAACTACCCAGAGATCGGCTAGGCAAAGCCTGGAGCGCAGACCGCGACCGCGACCGCGCCGCCAAACCCCCAGCCCAGAGCAGCACTGGGGAGACTGCTGTAGCCAAGGGGAACCGCGACACCGACAGACCGCTGCCCCACTGAGCGAACGCCACGCGTCCACACGTCCATACTCAAACAGCACACACAAGGTACAGCTGGGTGTGGAGCCGGGGCGCACACCGTGCGTCGTAAAGCGTGCACACGCGTGTGCCCGACCTTGTCCCCCCAACCCCGTGCGCCCCGGGACTCAAGCCCCATAGCCCGCGAACCTCACCAGATCGCGGGTAACTTTCCAGGTGCGCAGCTGGTCTCCTGCGGCTCGCGTCCTCGCCGCTGCGCCCTCCCAGCCACCCGCGGCGCGCGAGCCCAGCGCAGGTCCGCTCCGCCGGCCCCAGGCGCGAGGTGCGCAGCGAGGGCCCGGGCCGCGGGCGGGAGCGCGGGCGGGGACTCGGCGAGCGTTGCGGCGGGCTGGCGGCTGGGGCTGCTCCGCCGGGGCCAGCGTGGAGGAGGCAGGCGGGGAGGGGGCAGGAAGGAGGGCGCGGGAGGAGGGCGGGGGTCAGCCGGGGCTGTGGCGTGGAGAGCCCAAAGCCGCGTCCCTAAAGGTGGAGCCACGGGCGCGCGCACCCACGCCAGCCCGAACCTTGACTCTCAGACACGCTGGTGGCAGCCGCCGCATTCTGCACTTTATACTCCATACCCTCCAGAGGGAGGCAACTCAGGTAGGGCGATAACATCGTGGCTGTAAGCATTTTTGAAATGTTATTGTTTCTATTTCAAGTGTGCGGAATGAGGTTCATCCTTTCCTTCCCTCCTAGTCCTTGGTCCCTCTAGGCTGCTTTACTGCAGGCGCTCTCCACCCTGCCGCCCTCCCCAGTCGCACACAGGCGCGCGCACCCTGCCCTGGTTCCCCTCTCAGGCCCGCGCCCCGCTAGGAGACTATGACCCTGGGACAACTCGCTTTTCCCACACTCCAGAGCCCTACTTGCATCTAGTTTGTCAGTTCACGTGATGCTGGGGACAGTGGCTGATCCGAGTTTCAAGGGACAGAGGTTATATCTCCGGAATCCAATCTGTAGGTCTTTGGCAGACAGCTTTCTTAACCACCCAAGCAAGGTATTTATCACACTCCTCTCACCTTTTGAGTAAGTACAAGTCTTTTTCCTGAGGCATTCATTATGGAGATAGATATCTATGTCTATGTTGCAGGATATGGGTGTAGATACCCCGCACTGCATTATTTGCTGTGCTCTGGAGTTGTGAGGTTGCCAAGTGGCTTTCTCCCTTTCCTGTTGCCCCCAGAGGAATTTCACTGGCAAACCCACCGAGCACAAGGGCAGTTTCTGTGTTGAGGACTGCGAGGGAGGTACAGTGAAGATCTATTTTTCACTGTGCGTCTAGAGCCCAGCCCTCCTGGGATTTAAACCACACGGTGGGAGTGGGCTCCTGTGCACCAGTATACACCATTACATACCTTCCCTTATAGAGAAGCAAGCCCAGGGCAAACTTGTTGAATGGGACCATTAAGTTTCCGAGGAGGAAGAATATAGTGCTGTTTGTTTTTGTGCTGACTGGAGAAAAATAAGAAAAAGTACAAAGTACTTTTTCATGATCTTAAGGCAGAATCTGTACATTAATGCTGGCCACCAGTAAAGCCTAGTCAGGAAGAGCAGGGAGAAGAATTTCACAGGAAAGTGTGATTAGTTAGATCATTACGTCTAGGGCCATACCACCCTGAACAGGCCTGATCTCCTCAGATCGTTACTAACTCCCTGATTTAAGCCAGTGGACAATTTCCATGCACTTAAAGACAAAGATGAGGAAATTAGGAAATTTTTTATTACATTTCTTGTAATCCAGGTCATGTTTTAACTGTGGGTTGCTAGTTACTAAGTGAGGAAATTGATGCAATGACTCAAAGTTTCCACTTAAAAAAATAATATGGACTAGAAAGCAGAATGCATAACCAAGGAAGAATAAGTGTATATTTTTTAAATTTTTCGTTTCCATTCACTGTATGTGTGTGTGCGCAGCGCCCACTTTTTGTCCTTTCTTAGTGTACATTGAGGTAAAAACTTGAAGAGTCCCTGGGGTACACATGCTCTCCAGGTGGGAGTGTTAGGAATTTAGGTTCTCTCTTAGCAATTCTGTGCTCTGCCTGCTCCACCACACTGAAGTTGAAGGAGAAGGAGGAGGTGGAGAAGGCCAAGGGCTAGGAACCATTTCTTTAATCCTTTATTCCATCTTTCAACAAAGTCTTTCATTAGCTATTCTATCTTAGGCTTAGTGCCAAAAACTGGGAGCTCAGTGTGGAATAAATTAATTTGTCATCTCTGTCAACTTAAAATCTAGTGCGGGAGGCAGACATGAAACAAGTAAACACAAAAGTAACCACACATATTTGATAAATAGAGGACTACTGAAAAATAAAATGTATATTTAAATTTTAAAATATTTGCTATAGTAAAACACATTGCCATTGATTCCCCTTAAAATATTCCCCTTCGATTCGATCCTGTCATCACTCCTGTGGCTCTCTGGAGCAGTTCTGCAAGTCCTCTTTCGTGAGTGTCTTTGTGACGTGTAATCAGAACTATTTTGGATGCTGCTCTCAAGTGCCATCCAACGGAAAGACAGGCTCCTAAAAACAGTACAAAGTGTTTTCATCCAGTGTCCTCCCCAATGCATGACTTGTGGCTTTTCCCCAAAGTCAAAACAACCATGGAGAGTAAGCACTTTGAATTGATATTGAACAATGAGGAAGCCACAACAGAACAACTAAAGACAGTCACAAAAGAGGATTTTCAGAACTGCCTCAGATAAGTAGCAAGAATGGTGTAACAAGTGTCTTCAAAGCCAAGGAGAGTATTTTGAAGGGGACTTACAGCAATGTATCTTTTAATGTAATAGACTGTTAAAAATCTAACGGTGGCCATTGGTTTCCCACAATTTTGTATCGTACTCATGAAGAAAGCTATAAAGGAAAAAAATACAGGGTCATAAGACATGGGAGGCTGCCATTAATAATTAACGCAATCTAAAATACCTGAATGATAAAAGAAATTTATTATTTCAGATGGCATGGAGTCCCAAGGTCAGAAGGTTGCAGGTGGTAAATTCAGTATTGTCCTGAGCCAAGGAGATCTGCTGGTACACAAAAGGGTGGCTCTGAGTTATCTCTGTTATTCCCTAGCCATTCCTACTGTGCCAGTTTGGTCCCTAGTATCCCCACCTGAGGTGTCAGATGGCTGGAGCAGCTGCCACTAGTTCAGTCTTGACAGTGTCTGAAGGCAGCAGAATGTGCTTCTTTTCAAGAATGGGGAAATCTTTCTCATGAATTTCACACCCACCATTAGTCTAAGTTAAGTCAAAAGCCCACCTCTGAAAGCAGGGAACAGGAGGAATTACCACAGGTAGTTGGCAGGAGCTCTTCAGGGTGTGACCCTGACCTCTTTGGGATTGCTTTCTTTGAGAAGTGAATACTCAAGCAAGGAGGCGAAGGTGAAATAAATTTAGGCAGGAAATCCAAAGTCAGATGCAGGGACTCCAGGCTGCCTTCTCCAAGAAAACCAGATGAGTGATGCTTAGAGGATTAGAAGGAAGCCCCAACAGGCAGAGGAAACTGTGTGAAGTCTGACTCTGCACTGTGTGGTAAAGATTTCCATACAAATTTTCATTTACTCTTTTCCCCCAGAAGAGGCAAGCAGACTTCAGAATGCAAGTTCAAGGAGTTAAATAGCTGATCAGATTTACAGGGCTAATAAGTTGCAAGGCTAACCTGTGTCATTCCAGAACCTAAGAGCCTGGTCTTTCCTGCCTCTCAAAAGAGTGAGAAGCCATAAGCCACTGCCGCTTCTCCATCACTGACCGAGGCAAACAGGCCCCTCCAAGCTCCTCTGAGATGTGTCTCTGGGCCTGGCACAGTGCAGAACATGTGTTTATGAATAAACCTTCTCCTTTCTACCAGGTTGGCCACCGCTCCAGACACTGGGTGTCTGGTCTCTACCGAACCTTGCCAGCACAGGGCTAGGGTTCTCATGACGTCAAAGCTAAAGGAAACCTAGGGACAGGAGAAAGATGAAAGGTCTTCTTCTCTTTGTTGTGCACGCGACTAGACAAGTCCTCCAGCAGACTCTGTGTTTCTCAGAAATCTCTATTTGGCCTACTTTCCCAGAGAACCACATCCGAGGGGCTGAGCTAGGAATAGGTAAGTCCAGCAACACTTCTGTGCTGCATTCAGACTTCAAAGCTCCTGGACTACTAATTTCAGTTTAAATTCATCCATCCTGAGTCTTGTTTTCTGGGAATTGATTTCCACACAGGAAGCCCTGCAGTTACAGTTGAACACAGATCAGATCAGCCCTGGGCTCCCATCATTTGAACTTCAGCTCAGAGCCTCCCAAGCTCAAGCTGAGCACCCTTTTGTGTACCAGCAGATCTCCTGGGGTCAAGAGAGGGACAGAACCATTGCCTTGCTGGTTTGCACTCCATCCTCTCACCATCTCTTAAGTTTTGCACCCTTCTCTCATTCAATCTTTCACATGCTTATTTTACCACTCAGGCCCCATGAGCAGCTATTGCAAGTGCTAAGGCTGGTCAATGTACTTGTTGATTGGCTTTGCCCAACCCTAACCAAAGAAAATCATTATTTGCTCTTAAGACTTGCTTTTTTAGGTTTCAGCATCACTTGACATGGTTCTGAAGCAAGCCCAATTGATTACGTCACACCATTTTCATGTGTCTAACCTCCCTGCAACCTGGATTCCTCTATTCCCCTTGATGCAGCTTCTTGTTTGCCGCCCATGGACCAGCAGTGAGCAGTTCTGTCCTTTATAATATACTGCAGTGTGCTGCCTCACTAACAAAGACCTTCAACCTACTTCCCCTACTACACTGCACAGCACGGACTTTGTGGTATTGTCTTGTATCTCCAAAACATGCATACTCAAATCTCTTTGTGATATAAAAGACAATTTTAAAAATTAGACTCCTTAGTCTGCTGTTGTATTTTCTTTTTGAAAAACTATTGGCCAAGATACCAGATACTTAAAAGAGATACTTATCTAGTGTCCAAGTCCTTCATGGGAGCTCATTACTAATGTCACACTGGTACAGCCTTCCAGGCACAGCACTGGGATCATTCTCCTTTACCCTCCAAGCAGTAGCTACAGCTGCCATATGTCCTCCATCTTGAACTGGCCAGTCTTGCGGGTGCTCCTGTTGAATGTCCTCCATCCCTTACCTCCACTCCCATTCTGTCTGAGTTTTTCCACCGCTCTGTCCTTAATCCCTCCTCCCCACTTCTCCTAGCTTTAACCATTACTTCTACATGTCTGACTAGTCTTCAGAACTTCCCCATCCCTGCCCTTTTTTTCAGCAGCATTTTGCCCTACTCTTCACTTTCTATGTTGTATTATTGCTTTCTGTCTGTATTTCTTATTTCTCCTGCCACACTGTAACACCTTGGGGACATGGTTAACATTTGGTTCATCTTTGTTTACCTCTCCCAGCATGCACAGAAAGACCAATCCTGGTGTTGATTAGACAGCCATAACTTACTACCCAGAAGATTTATACTGATCCTTCTGCAAATCTGTAGAACTGGGAGCATACTTTTTATTTTCCTTCTGGAATACAGGTAATTGTTTAAAATGATAGTACTTAATTTGAAATTAATCTACTTATTTAATGGTTAAGTAATTTTGCTACCAAGCACCTAAACATAAGTAAATATGTATAATATTGTAGTTTTATCTGCATCAACTTTCCTAAACCGTGAATTTTTTCCAATTATGAGTGCTCATTAAACAATATAGCCAGTGTATACTAATTATTCACCAGGTTCCCAGTGTTTGACATCCCACCACTCTATACTACTTCAAAGGCTACCATCCAATACTGTGGCTTTTAAACCACTTAATCGTACCATATCCAAATCCTACACTTCAGTCACCTTTGTCCATAGACTCCATCAATCATGCCCGGAATTTCCACTGACATTACTGATTTTAATAATGTACATATGTCCCCGAGTACAGCTTGGCCCTGTTTGTCTCCAGAGTCCTTGCAATGAATTCGCCATCCCCGTGGTTGCAAAGTTGTTAATGGTGTCATTGACCTCATCCTCCCTAGGGCTGAGGGTTACACTTACCAAAGAGGAGGCCTCAGTAGCTCTAGTCCTCTGCTCTGACCTGACTGAACCCACAGAAGCTTTGGCTTCCCCAGCTGCTGCCTGGAAGGACCAAATCACAACCCAAAAACACAGTGAAATTAATGCCCAGTAGAGTTGCTTTTGACCACTGAGAAACAGGAGCCAGGACGAAGACAACAGAAAAATTGTTCACTCTTCCTGCCCACCCAGAAGCTGTTCAAAGGTGCAATATTTCTGTATTTCTTGCTGCCTTGGGTGACTCAGCTACTAGTTTTGTTTCTAGAGACACTAAAGACAGATTGGAATGCACCACCTTGAATCTGCATTCAGTCTCTCTCTGACTCTCTCTGTCTGTCTCTGTCTCTGTCTCTGTCTCTGTCTCTGTCTCTGTCTCTCTCTGTTGCTCTCTTGTTCTCTTGCTTTCTCACTGTCTCTGTGCCTCTCGCACCTTCCCTCCTTCTGTCACTCTCTCCTTCTGCTTCTCCATATCCCTCTCTTTTGCTTATTCCTGCTGCCATAGGCTAATACCCTGAACAAAGCCTTCTGTTTCTACATTAGGGAACCCAAGCTAAGATGTTGTAATATGTGTCGACTGCCTTTTACTCTTCAAGTTTATTTGCTTAACTATTTCCTCTTCACATGTCTTTGTTCATGGGGACCTTTAACTTTTTCATTTCCTATTTTTCTGTGTCTTCACTCTACTCCTTAACAGTTTAGAGCAGTGCGTTATTTCAGTCTTGTTGTCTTATCCTAATTTTATGTCTTAAGAAATACAAGAGCCCATCCTAGAGAAAGCCTGCTTCCCACGTTCCCTTTCTTAAATTTAGACAACAAATGTTAGTGGGAAAGATAGATATGGGCCTATCACAGGCGAGCATGAGTCCTTGCTTCAGTGATCATGGAAATTAAACCTGAGGCAACAACATGAATGCACAGAAAAGATTTTTTCAAAAAAGAGATAAAATCTTTGGTCCTGTAGGAAAAAAGAGAAAAGCTGGCTATTCTACAGACAGAAGACCAACTCCTTCACAGACTAAAAGATCTGCCAAGGGGTCGTTTTATTAGGAAAATGCATTATAGTGAAGACATAGCGAAATTCAGGGTGAGTTCTCTGCTAGATCTGTCCCCATCCTTGCATCAGCGTCCTCCAATTTGCCCACACACCTCACCTTCTTATCTAAAGGACTACATCAGCTTACACTTAACTAACACCATGATTTACTTCCCCCTTTTATTGCCCAGAATTGCAGGTGCCTTCTTATTCTCTCTCAAATTGTTACTTCAAAATTATGCCATTCCCCCTCCAGTCTCAAGTCTGTTCTCCTAAACTTAAATTCTGGGCCAGCGGTAGCAGATTAGACCAGTAAAGCGATTCTAGAGAGCCACTTGGCAATATTTACTCAAATTATACATATGTACCAGTCCATCAATGGTTCCACGTCTGAGTGTACTGTATATCCTGGAAAAATGCTCATATAGATCCACGAGGGGAAAGGTGTCTATTGTAACCTCATTTCTGTTGTTGTGGTTAGATGAATAGGGCACCTGAGTGTCCATCTCTGAGAGGACAGGTGGATATTATTGGTGGATATGTGCCACATATTCCTTAACAATAGCAGATCAGATACTGAGAAAATAAAAGAGCATTTCTTTAAAATATAGTATCTTGTAGAAAATGGAAAAACATGGTATCTGCATATATAGCACAATATCCTTTGCATAAATTAAAAAGACTGTAAAATACAATAATGCTCACTTTGCAAAGCCCATATACATATAAAAATACTAAAAATAAATAAATGATAATGTTTACTGGTGCAAAAGATGGAGAATAGAAGTAGAATATTTGAACAAAGGAAATAGTAAAGAAAACTCTGGGGGAGGAAAGTCAGAAAATAAACATGCACATAATGAGACATTTTTCAATCTCAAGAAGTGTTTTGATGACTGTAGAGAAGGATGATACAGGTTGAGTGGAGAGCGCTACTTAAAGAATAAGGCCTGGATGATGATGTGAAGCTCAATGCAAGATGATGGAGGGGAGGAACATGCCAGGGAGAGGGCAGAGGAAAGAGCAAGTACGTGGCCAAGAAGGAGTTTGGTGCATTTCAGGGACAGAGAGAGTCCATGAGGTTAGGGATGGGGAATAAGGAGAAGGTGACCCAGGACAGCCCAGGGAAGGTTAGCATGGGACCTCGCCGGGTCAGATTGTGTGACCCCTCTGGTAATGCTAAGGAGTTTACTACTGTGATTTCTTGGTGTCAGTGTCACCTAGGTACTAAGTACTCTATGAAAATCCTGCTAAATTTAGTTTGTCAGTTTTTGAAGCTCTTTGCTGTACTGAAAATAACAAACCTTTTCCTCTTTAAACTTTCATTTCAGGAATAATACACATGGGAATTTTTTGTTCAGGACACCAACAACCTGGAAAGAAGCCCCTCATTCGGTGATATATACACAATAGAATCAATTTTACTTCAGAAAACAAAAGAAATAATTCATATCAAAACTCAAAATTTCAAGTTATATCTTTTTCAAAATACGTATGCTTGAAATGTGAATGGGATGTCAGTATATTTTTATGTGGTTAACATGTGGTAGACGTAGAATCTGCAAAAGTTAGAATACATAAGCTCATGAAAGAGCTCCACGTCCAGTGCCTTCCCAGTGCCTTCCCGGCAAATCCTTGGATCCTTTTTTTTTTTTTTTTGTCTTTTTCATTTTTACTGGTACCAGGGATCAAACTCACGACCACCTGCTTACAAGGCAGGTGCTTATGCCGCTGAGCTAAATCCCCAGCCCCCAATCCTTGGATCTTTAACATGCTCTCCAAGATGTCAGAGCTGCATTTTGTAACTTGTCTTAAGAAGGTGCTTATCAGAAATATAAGGAGACCCTAAGCCAGTGCTCCTCAAGCTGTAGTACACATCTCGTCATTGTGAAAATGCATATTCCAGCCCAGCAGGACTGCGGGTGAGATTCTACCCTACATTTTTTAGAAGCTTCTTGATACCAGGGATCACACTGAATTTCAAGGCTCCTGATATGTTCTTATTTGCAGAATTGAGCTGAGTGTCCAGGTAAGCTAGCTGGAGAAGAACACATGTATGTGTATGTGTGAGTGTGCATGTGCACTCCAGACACCCTCACATACAGCTTCATCTTAGCCTCCAAGCCCATTCCTACAGGGTCACAACTTGACAGAGCCTCTTATCAAGGCTCTTTGCAACGATGTGTTCCTGGGCCCGTATTAGGAGTGGACCGTGAACTCCATTGCTCCTGAGGTGAGTTCTTCTTCATGGGAATCACTCTGAGTTTCAGTGAATACAAGAATGATGTGAAAAACCTACCCAATCATAACTTTTCTTCAGAATGCATCCCAGCTCTGGAACGTTAGGGATACTCTGACCCACATTTTCAACTGATGTGCAGTAACCAGAGGTAATTAGCTACTTAGGCACCCATATGTTATGCTTCTCAGCAAATAGAAATGTCACATAGCAACAGCTCTATGAACCCATCCCTAAATACAAATTTTAAATGAACACTCATGCCTATCTAGCAACACCTGAAGTGATAGAATTGTTTTACAATAGTGTCTTGTTTTTACTTTTGGTTTATTTGTTATTTATGTCGTGTTACACACTAGTTTGCATTGGAAGCAGTGACAATTTTTCCACCAAAGTAATGAAAGTAATCTGAGCGTTTCACTTGGATCTTTTAGAGTATTATGCCATACAGATAGGGGCTATTATTTGCCCATCTACTAAAACAGCAGAAAGCTGACTTCACTACATTTATCTCTTCAATGTAGCCATTCAAAAGGACCTGATCCATTAGGACCTCATTGAAGATATAAAATTGTCTCATTTCCCAAATGCAGACTGCCTGTAACTGATTCTTCCTTCCAGAAAGTCCTCCAGATGCTAGAGGTTTCATTTAATATGTAAGCAATAGTTTTCCCCTGAAATAAGGGTAATTGAAAATCCTGTTTAGTGTCAGTCCTTCATTGGGTCAAATTGTTTTTCAAATTTTTTGTCCCACTACATGAGCTCATTTGATGCCAGCATGCCAGGCACAACCATGTGTTCCAAGACAGCAAATAATAAATCACTTCCAGACCTGTGTGTAGCCAGCATTTTGCAGGAGGAAGCCTTGAAACAGGTTTTGTAGCCCTAGCACATTGTCAGATGCCATTATGTGCCTGCATTTCCTGACCACACTAATGGGAGTAACTGTAGATTAACCTAAACTATAGTCTCTGTCTCTGTCTCTGTCTCTGTCTCTGTCTCTGTCTCTCTCTCTCTCTTTCTCTCTCTCTCTCTCTCTCTCTGTGTGTGTGTGTGTGTGTGTGTGTGTGTGTGTGTGTGTTTCTGTCTGTATCTCTCTTTCTTTCTATTTGTCACTGACTTCATGACTTACACATGTAGCCTGCCTTTGGAGACCCTAATTGGGAGGAAACTATCATTTTAATGATTCTATGTTATCCATTTACAAGAACTGCCAATGTTAATGAAATGTAACAAAGATTTTATGCATGGTTTGTGCTGGTCTCTAGTTATTTCCTTGTATAAGAGCCGAGATTCAGTGACTATTTACCAGGGAGCAGCCAAAGAATATACAAGAGCTTTTACACTGTGTATTTGTAAACATTTACAAATTGTGTGCTGAACATATACGGGACAGTCAAAAAACTTTTCTTAAATGAGTGCATAAATATCTCTATGCTACTTAGCTGTGAGACCAGAGGTTAATATTGTGGAAAGGGGGCAATTTAACAAAAGTTGTAATGACTTCAGGTCAATGTTTTCAATTTTATATTTTTATTTTAAATTTTACAATTATGATTAAGAATTATTTTTTCAGTGTCAGGGATTTAGATCAGTGGCACAAGGTCCTGAGTTCAATTCCTGGTACAAAAACAAGAGAATTATTTTTTTCATTATTGAATGGCTCCTTTATTGAAGAACATTTCAGAAACTACAATTAGCAACCACTTAGCAGCTGATTGCAATGGTTTGGCCTTGGGAAGGTTTTATGTGAAGTGAGGTCCCATGGTGCCAGGAGATAAACACTTTGAGAGATTTGCAGAAGAGGGGATGGGCAGAAGAATTTTGCTTCAGGTCAGAGATGAGATTCCTAACTCTAGCTGCAGATTCCGCAGAGCAGGAGAACTGTTCTTGAAGAGACATAGGATAGAAGAATAAAGCAGGAAAGGAGGCAAACATCCTTAACTGTGTAAATGACCCTGCTGCCTCCAACCTACATGCTAGCAAGAAAGGGACATCCTTCTGCAGGGCTTCCTACAATGCCATGAGGGTTTGAAACTTTTTGTGGGTCCTTACTTACCGAATTCAGTGGTTCTCACAGTTTTAGTATTAAAAGACTTTCATAGTCTTAAAATTATTGAGGACCCTAAAATGTTTTTTTTAATGGTGGTTATATTTATCAATATTTATTTTATTAAAACATGAATTTTTATGTTTATTCATTCAAAAATAACTATTATAAAACCATTACATGTTAACATAAAAGTAATTCCCCAAAAATATTTAAGAGAAACATTTGTGTACAAATATATAAATATACATATATGTATATTGCAAATCTCCTTCATGTTGAGTGTGACAAAAGTGAAAAAGGCAGTTTAGATCTCAGCATTGCCATAATACTCATTCTAATACTTCCTTTAGTCTCCAGAATCTATTCAGGCCATGCTCTGTTGTGGACCACTGCTCTAATTTATGAGCCCCACACTAAAAGCAACTATCTCCATGACTCTCTATGGTTCAGCTAATGGCTCAATTAGCTTCCTCAAGCTCAGTGGCCAATAATTGCAAAAGAAAAAATTGAAAAGGGAGGGATATTGCTGTTCCCTCGACTCCCACATATAAGTGAGCGAATATATGAACTAATACTTTAATCTCTATGTTAATATTTTTATTTTTTGAACATGAAATTACATTGTCATTTCCATCATGAAGATAGAGTAGCTGCATTCAATCTACAGGTAATAGAGATTACACAAACTCTTGGAACTTCGTATGAACTTTTCTGACTTGTTCCCAAACACTGTAAAATCCAGAGGGAAAACTTCCACAGGTACATCTCGTCATCTATACTTATCCATTCAAGTATTCACTGATTGATCAAGTCATTCTGGAATAACCAACTTTATTCCAGAGAGTCAAAATTGAAAAAGCAAAATGTCTGTGTTCCATATGTGTAGTGTAATCGACAGTGCTATAATTCTATAATCCATGAATGCATTTCTTCAGCATACAGTAATCTAGTTAACAAATATTATTAGGTTCCTACAAGTGGTATTTCCCAAATAGATACAAAAATAAAACATTTCTAGAATGCAAATTACTGAGCTACAAATCTAGGTAAAAAAAATATATATGTGACATTAAAATTAATTTTAAAGCTCCATAAGAAATTCATAGAGGAAGAGAATATTTGGTTGGGAGTATTAAGAAACATTTCTCTTTTTTGCAAGAAACCAAGAGACATAAGCATTGATTTTATGGTATGAAAGATCTAGGTTCTAATGTCAATCAACTCTATCAGTTTCTAAACTCCGTAGAACTAAACCTCAGGGCAACACATGAAAAAGTGATCATATCTGTATAGTGCCTATTAGAGCACTGACTGACATAACAGAGAAGTCTTTTAGGTGGAAATAAACAGGGTATACATTCTAGGTAAAAAGAGCCATGCATCCAAAAGCAAGGAATCTTAAAAAGCAGAGTGTCAAGGAAGTAAGGCTAACTTGATAAAATCTAGTAAAATATCATAGTGTCCTTACTAAGGTCAGACATTAGATAGTTTCTGTTCAAATATGACTCCTTTGCAACACCTCACAATACCAAAAAAAAGACAAAAGTAAATGTGGGAGCATAAGACAGAGAAATTTCACAGTTTTTGTCAGTAAGTGAAGCAACACGAAAGTGGGTTTGGCAGTGACCTGGAGTGCAGATATGATTCAGTGACACCAAGTGTGCTGTGGATTCTCCGCTCTGTGACATTACAGCTTTACAACATCAAATTTGGATTAAGGGTCTAAAGAGTATGTTTGTAAATATCCTCTTGCACAAAAGCCAGTGGATTATAAATCCTTCATTTCTGGTACACATAGGTTTCACATAAAAGCACATGAGTGGCACTTGTACCCAATGTGAGGCTCCCTGACATGCAGATACAGTGCCACCAGCACAGCTGCATCCACTCAACAGGCTGGATCTGGGAGATGACAAGTCACAGGGCCACACTGTATCCCATAAGATGCATCAGGACTGCTGTATTAAATATAGCGCAGATGGGTGCTTAAAACACCAGAAATACATGTCTCACCATTCTAGAAACTAGATATCTGAAGAAGGTGGCATTCCCAGGGCCCCTTTAAAACCTGTGAGAGAGAATCCTTTGCCTCTTCCTAGCTTCTGGTCACAGGTATCAGTCACTGACTTAGATTGTATCACAGAACTTTAGTCTCTGGTTTTTTCATGGCAAAGCATTCTCTTTATGTCAAAAATTCCTCTTTCCACAGGATACTTGCTCTACTAGTTGAGCATCCACCCTTAGGAGCTCATCTTAAATTTGTAAAGACTCATTTCCAAGTCAGGTCATGTTCACAAGTACCACAGATTAGAGTTTCCATATATCTTAAGTGGGAATGCAGTTCAACCCCACATAGTTACTTTTGGAGTCTGTTGGAGAGGAGCTAGGAGCCCTCTTTCTACCTGTCTAAATCTTTAGCTGAAATAAAATGCAGAATCATAAACCAATGAATCAGAATGTCTTTGAACCACATAATTTAACATTGATTGGATCATCGTTTATGTGGTATAGAGTAATTCACTGTGTCTAGAAAATAGCCTAAAACAAATTATGAAAAGCCAGGGTAACACTGAAGAGCTACTGATATCTACAAGTAATAAAGCAATATGACCAACACTGTGTTGCCCAAAGGCTGCTCTGGCAATAGTGTGAGTCAGAAAGGTCACAAAGGAAAATATTAGAAATAGAAATAGCAATTAGGAAACCACTGTAGATTCTGGAGCAAGGGAAATTGCCCTTTGAGGGCTGAGGGCACATGTATATACTACAGTGGGTTGGTGTATTGGGTCCAATAGCAGCCGGCAGAAAGGAGGAGATGATTAAAGAACAAACTGAGAGACCTGTTGGGCGTGGGCTCCTCAGAAAGAGTAGTTATACTGACCAGAGCCACTGAGCTTTGTTAGGTGGACACCATTTGTCACCATTGATTGGGACAAGAAAA